GGTTCTTCTCGCTAAGGGGGAAAAAAATAAAATAAATGCTTGCAGCCTTTCCCCAAGATGATGGCTTTTGCCCTTTCCCCCTCCCCCCCAGGACGGAGCAGTTGAATTTTTAAGTGTGACTGATTCATCCTCTTTCTTCCTCTGTCATCACAGGTTTAAACTTACACGGATCGCCCTCCTGAGGAGGAGGGGACCCCGCCGCGCGATTGACACGCATATTCCTATAGGCATCCTTCCTCAGCCGCCACCCCCACGGCCGGATTCGGCGGCTCCTCTCCGAGCTGAAATCTGAGAAGAAATCCTTGGATCTCGCTCGCTCTCTCTTTTTTTTTTAAAAAAACAAAAAACTAGAAACCTTCGGCATTTTGCTCTGCTGCTTCCGTTTTGCAAGATGAAGAAGTTTTTCGACTCCCGGCGTGAGCAGGGCAGCTCGAGCCTGGGCTCGGGCTCCAGCGGAGGAGGGGGCAGCACTTCGGGCCTGGGCAGTGGCTACATCGGAAGGGTCTTTGGCATCGGGCGACAGCAGGTCACCGTGGACGAGGTGCTGGCCGAAGGTACGGGTGGGACTCCTTTCGCGGTGCTCCCTGGTTGAAAATCGTGTGCCGCTGCGCCAGGGCGCCGGTCGCCTTGTTAATTGTATGAATGGGTTTTGACCAGTTGACCCTCCCCTTCTCCCTTCCTTTGCCCGGCGATTCATTGTCCTTGAGAGAGATTTAAAACTGAGATTTGAAAGTGACGGGGCTTACGGGGATGGGGGAAGGTTGCCGGAAATTGTTTATCTCCTTGACCTTTTAATTGAAAATAAAACAAACCCCTTAAACCGCCGACTTAGGAGGATCAGAGGAGAAAACGCCTATGGGAAAGGATACAGCTTTACTTCAAATGCGGGGTAGTGGGCTCGTCATTCTCCCGAAACTTGAAATATTGATGTGAAGGGTGGGGATGGGGCACCTTTAAGTAGAGAGAAGGGTATCTCTCGATTTCTCCCAACCAACTTTCCCACTCCCAGAAACACGCATTGGAAGAAGGAGGATTTTTCAAGGAAGGAGAATGGATTTGACTCGGTTTGCTTCCCGACTCATCTGTAATTCGGCCCCCAGAACAGGGCATCGGGCACAGTGTGGTTCTCCTGAACGCAGTCTCATAGGCCCCTCTGCCGTTGGTTTTTCCTTTTTTTCTTTTTCTTCAACCAAAAGAATGACTTTAAAGGTAAAACTGGGCGGCTCTAGGTTTGCCTTTCCTCTGTCAGAGAGGATGTTATTTAGATCTGCCGTGTGAATTCCCTCCTGGGTCCGTGTCTGTAAAACTATGAATATGCAGCTATGTATCTTTAGCCCCCAGGCTTTAGGGAAATCTTTGCATGTTGCTTTTGATAACCTTAACCTCGACCTTCATAATTATGCCAGCTCATACTTTTCACAGCCCACTGCCTGCTTAGTGTGCTTTTATTTTTAATAAAAGCAGCAATTTCCTTGGCATGAAGCTATTCAAACTAATTGGATGGGGCCAACCTGCTGTAGGTTGTTAGAGACTGAGAAGGGATGGGGGAAGGGGTGGCCTCTTACTGCATTATGGGGAGAAACACTTGATTAGCTGAGGAGGAGGAGAGACAGCATGGAGGCCCCTTAAGAAGAAGCCCTTTTCAGGTCAGGGTGGAAGCCGGCGGGAGTCCTGAGCTGGGTCTAGGAAATGCTTGTGGTGAGTGTTGCAGGTGGGTGTGTTGGGGAGGAGGAAGAAGCTGTGTTTGACTCTCAGCTTGTGTAAGCACTGGGGTCAGCAGGGCCAGGTTCTCTGGGTTGGAGTCTGTATTTTAAAAACACAATTTTTAAAAAAACCAATATTGAACAATCCTGCCTTTGTAAAATTGTTGCTCTTTTTCATTCTCAGCCCTGCTCTAGCTGGACCTAATCCTGGGCCTGAGTCACTGTCTCTCCCGATCCTTCCTGTGGGCTTTGGTGCAGGATGGGAGATGCTTCTGTGCCCGCTGCCAGATCCGCACCCTTGAGTCTGATCTGTTTCTTTCATTCTTGTGCCAAAGCCTTGACTGCAGTGGGGTGGAGAGGTGGAGAGAGAGAGAGAGAGAGAGAGAGAGAGAGAGAGAAATCGGCAATGAGAGAGAGAGAGAGAAATCGGCAATGAGAGGGTGCAGCGGTGGTTCCTCATTACTGAAAGGCCTCTGCTGATCTCAGAGTCCTGGAGCATTTTGGTCATTTAGGGTGTTGTTTCATTATAGCTAGGGCTACCCTAAGCACCACCCCTTTTCAGTTCTCAGTGATGGGGCAAAGAGAAGGCCAGCTTGGTCTTTATTATCTAGGCTACCGGCCTCTGCCCCAAGATTCATCCTCGAGAACTGCTACATCATGCAGTGTGATCTTTTTCTGTGGAAGTTAGGGCATGTGGTTCTGCATTCATTCATTCATTTATTCATTCACTCACTCAACAAACAGGCATGGCATGTGCACAAGGTGCCAGGCACCGCGAGAGGCTATGGACATACATTATTAAACAGGGTGCTGGACTCTACAAACTGTTTCGGCAGATAGAAAAGAGCCAGTTCTAATAGAGCGGTGAGTGCTGTCACAGAGAAAGCTCAGGGTGCAGGAGCCCCCTTTCCCCCCAGACAGCCAAGAATGCTTCCTGGAGTCAGTGTTCTAGACGCAGACCTGAAGAGTAAATAGGAAGGAGCTCGCTAGGTGTGGTGACAGCATGGGCAAAGACTCAAAACCGGCAAGAGGGTATGCCACATTCAAGGAGGTTCATGGAGTTACAATTCTTTAAAAGATACAGTTCCTCAGAGGTGAGAACAGAGTTTTAACCCCTGTTTGTGGAGACAGGAGAAAGGAGTAATTGGCCTTGAACTTTGTGCACCTGGGTGTAGAAAACTGGGTCTGGCCATGCTCTTGGGTTAAAACAGAGTGTGCCTTTGTGGCTCTTCGAAGTATTTACGTGTGAAGGATCCAGCGTACAAAGCTGCCTGCGCTTCCTTGGATAAGGAGAGGAGTGTAGGGAGGTCTGGTGTATGGTGGCTGTGGGTCAGTTTGGCTCAATGGCAGTGAGCGTGGTTTGTGGAGTGTGTGGTGGCTGCCTTGAGTAGCCAGCGGTGACTTTGGGTGGACCAGGTGCACCTGCACACCTAGGACAGCAGGGCGGTCGAGTCTGACAGAGTTTCAAATTATGGCTCATTTCTTTACCAGCTGTGGGACCTCGGACAAGACAAGGCCCTTCAAAGCTTCCTGGAGTCTTTATTTTCATCAAAGAGTGGCGCATCAGCACCAGCTGGGAGCTGGTTAGAAATGCAGATTTTCAGGCCTCTCTCCACTCCCCCTGCCACTACCATACTGTGGGTTTTAACCAGTCCTGGGAGAAATTCAGATGCGATCTAAAGCTTGAGAACTGCAGCCCTATGTGGTCGTCTTGAAGATTAAGTGACACAATGTGTATCAAATGAAACAACGTTTCCCAGGTGGTTAATGAATGATAGTCATTATGTATCACTTACAACCGCATGGAATACGCAGTGAAGGGGTGGGGTAGAAGAGTCATTGGAAGGCCAGTTCCCCATTGTAAGTGGGCAGCACCAGATGTTTTTTGCAGGCCTCATCAGCTCCTTAAAGGGTCAGCAGATATCTGGGGCAGCCACACCCTTTCCCCGGGCTCCTTTTCTGAGTGTCCAGGTGTCGGCTGGCCTACCCACCAGTCCAGATTGACGAAGGGCAATGACAGCTGTGCCCTGATGGCCAGGGTGGGGTGAGGAAGGGGACTTCCAACACAGGGCTGATTGCTGCCCACATCCCATGCAGATCCCTTTTCTCCTTAGTGTGGGTGCTGGTCTGGGCTCCATGGTGAGGAATGGCAGGAACCGAAGGAGCAGGTGCTGGGCTCCCATCTCTTCAGCCAGCAGCCTCAGCCCTGCTGGTGTGGTTTCACTAACTTGCCCCACAGGGGCTTGGTGGCCTGGGGAAAGTGGAGGTGCTGAGTCCCCAGTTTGGAAGGATGTGGTGGCCTCTTGCCTGGGTGCCGGGGGCAGATATTTTCTTTCTAGCTTTCTTGGGGAAGATGATTAGATGCTAAGTCATGTCTAAGTTAATGGTCATGCGTTATGTATGACAGGAATATTTATTTGGTTTTGAGCTTCCAGAGTGAGCTCAGCAGAAGCTATGTTTTTTTCATCAGAGGTGCGTAGTTCCATGAGACCTTTCATCGAAGCTCTAACCCGTAAATAGGAAACATAAAAATATAGCATTCTAGATCAGCATCAGTTGTATAGAAGGTGGACAAAGTGGCACCTCAAAACCGTTTCCTAACTTAAAGGTCTCCACGCGGAGGGCTAATAAGAGGTACCTTATCAGTAAACTTCGATAATTTCTCCTACCTACGGCTCAAGGTAGTGAGGCTTCAAAACCCATTTTTAATCACATGGCTTTGGTAGTGTCGATATGCTTCATGTACCCATTCCATTAATGTTTATGAGTACCTTCTGCGTGGCAGGCACTCTCTTAGGTTCCAGAGCTACCTGGGGAAATGGGACCTGGGCTGAGCTCTCAGGAGCTCAGCTCCTGACTCCTGATCATCCTATCCACTCTGGGATCAGATCTTTGTGATCCATAGGTTCTCATTGGCTGAACACCTTTCTTCCTGGCCCATCTTTGTCTGAAAGGTCTGCTGACAGCCATTCGGCATCATAGTAACATGACCAGCCTTCACGGACAGATGGGGTGGGATGTGGGGTGGGGTAGTTGTGCTTGAGATGCACCGGCCAGGAAGCGAATCCAGATATTCTGCATGGAAGGCAAGCCTTCCACCCCCGAAGAGCCACTGCCTCCACGAGCTCTTGTGGTCTGCTGCTGCTGCCACCGATCGTCAGACCTGGGTGCCAGAGATGGGTTTAACCTGCCGGCTTCTCAGCTAGCAGTCTTAACGTTTGACACCACCCAGGCCATCACACGAGCCCATGGTGCTGTTGACTGGGTTCTGACTCACGATCCTGTGCACGACAGAAAAAGAGAGACTGCGCAGTCCTCTGCCCTCCTCACAGTCCTCATGTCTGCGGCCACAGGGTCAGTCTACCCTGGTGAGGCTCTTCCGCTTTCCCACTGACCTGCTACTGCTTTACCGAGCACAAGGTCCCCCTCCAGGCCCTGGCCCTTCCTGATGACGTGTCCGAAGTACTGGGAAGTAAAGAAGTCTCCTGCCTAAGGAGCATTTAGACCAACGACTCACTATGCGTAATCAGTGAGTCACTGCGTCCAGCACCTTTTAACACTCCAAAGACGTTATGAGATAGGAAAGAGAAAGGGCCTTCCTGGGTGAGGCTTTATAGGCGCAGTGCAGTTTGGGCAGGAATGTAAACCGCCCTGCAGATGTCTGGGGGAGGGTTAGCCAAGGCCTCCCTGCGACACATGCAGAGGTGAGGAGTTAGGAGAGCCTCAGGATGAGTTCTCAGAGTAGCAGTTTAACTAGCACAAGCTCCCCCTCCTGAAGCCAGGGGAGAAGAGTCTGGAGGGGGTGAATGAAATGCTTATGTTTGCTCCCAGGGCATGCTCCCTTTCTTCAG